GGTGTACATACACCTGAGATGCAGTTATGCAACTAAAGGAAAGGAAGCTCGAGCTCACACGCTCGAATCCATTTCTATTTTTCTTTATTTATTCCGTTTGGCTTTTTCCTGTTTTTTTATTTCATTGATTGAAACACCCTTTCGGCTCAGGGGCCCCCCGGGGCTGGCGGCTCCGTCCTTATAGTTTTTCTCTGGCTGATCGAGGCGTTGCTGTATATACAGCTGAGCTGCAGCCTTTGGCGCGTCTCAGGTGTACACGCAACGGGCCAGGGTTTAGGGTTCAGCAGGAGAGGCGGGCCGCCCGTAACCCTGAATCAGTCTCAGCTGTATTCGTAGGGTTTAGGGTTTAGGGTTTAGGGTTTAGGGTTTAAGGCCTGTTGCTGGGGTTGAACTTGGCGCGGAGCTGCAGAACCACACAGACAACGCAGGCATTCTTTGCGTGCGGTTTTAGGGTCCCGTTGTTTTTGTCTTAGATGGAGAGTTTAGACTTGAGCTGCAAACCAGCAACCCNTGCGGTTTTAGGGTCCCGTTGTTTTTGTCTTAGATGGAGAGTTTAGACTTGAGCTGCAAACCAGCAACCCTAAACCCTAAACCCTAAACCCTAAACCCTAGACCCTCACCCCCCTCAAAATGGAGCCTTTGATGGGCGGGCCCACTTCTCCCTTCCGCCTGGGAAATACCCGTGAGTCTTCTCTCCTGAGGCCGCTCAGGCGGAGCTCTCGGTGCAGCATCAACAGGTTCTTCTGATTAGGGTTTAGGGTTTAGGGTTTAGGGTTTAGGGTATACGACTAGGGGTTTCTGGCGTGTGTTGCAGCTGCTGCTTCGGCGCACCCGCTGGAGACTCAGCAGCAGCCGCGGGAGTTGAGTGATTTTTCCTTTTACAAGACTGTGAGCACGGGTGAGTGCGTTTTTTTGAGGGTTTAGGAATCAGGGTCTAGGGTCTAGGGTTTAGGGTTTAGGGTTTAGGGTTTGTGTGGGTCTGCAGCGGACAAAGCCCTGCATAGCACCTATAAGAGAGGGAAGCGAAGCGCTGAGGCCACGAAGCTCAAGTCGCTGCAGTCTCAGGATAGCTTCAAGCGTGACGCTCTCAGAACCATCACAAGGCAAACCCTAAACCACCGCTAAACCCTAAACCCTAAACCCTAAACCCTCGCTTGCTATTGAGTTGTCTTAAAGATCTTCTGCTCTGTTGATAACACTACGGTTTCGGGTCCAGTCAGATGCTGACACATCGCCACTCTTTAGGCTTTAGGGTTTAGGGTTTAGGGTTTAGGGTTAAGGGTTTAGGGTTTAGGGTTTGTCTTCAGGTTTCTTTCTTTTTCTGAATTCCCCGGGCCTCTATCTGCTAAGGCGCTGAGTAGCCCCCAGCGGTCTCTGCTGATAGACATTTGGGGTCATCTGTTCAGGTGCCTAAACCCTAAACCCTAAAACCCTAAACCCTAAACCCTAAAACCCTAAACCCTAGGGGCGGTCTTTAGAACCCTGCTATTAGGTGTGTTTCAGCAGATGCTGGGAGTTAGGGTTTAGGGTTTTGTTTGGACCTCGAGGCATACGTATACAGCAGACGCAGCAAGAAAGGATATATATATATATATGTATATATATATATATATATATATATATATATATATATATATATATATATATATNTATATATATATATATATATATATATATATAAACTTTTTATTTTTGTTTTCTTAGGCGCTGCTTTGATGACTCTGTGAAAATAACAGCAGAAAATGTGAATGACGAAGTCCCCAGACTTTTCAAAGAAATCGGGTGCTGAAGAAACTCTAGGGTTTAGGGTTTAGGGTTTAGGGTTTAGGGTTTAGGGTTTAGCAGTCTGAGTTTATAGAGATACATAAAATATAATATCTCTGTCTCTGTTTCTCCATTCATTGATGTGTTTGTTAGTGGTGTTGTTTTGTTTATATGTTTGTCTCTTTATGGCTGCGTCTCGCTGTTTATCTCTCTTCTAGGGTTTAGGTTTTAGGGTTTAGGGTTTAGGGTTTTCTAGGGTTTTCTAGGGTTTTACTTTCTCCTCAGCTACCCCTTTCCTATAAGCAAGAGCGCGATGCTGGCCCCCGGCACCGGGCACCAATGGCCCCACCACCTGGCGGCGCTGAGTTGGCTGTGTGAACTGCTTATCTATGAAAACGAATTCTTCTATCAAGAAGAAGAAGCAGCAGAGATGCAGGTACACACCGAGGGTTTAGGGTTTAGGGTTTAGGGGTTAGGGTTTAGGGTTTAATGCTTAGTGTCTAGGGTCTAGGC